ACCTTTCGTGTCTTTTCCAGGGCATGAAAATGCAGCGGGTTCAGCTTATGAAGCAGATGAAAGAGGATGCGGAGAAGTTTCGCTCTTTCAAGCAGGAAAAAACTAAGGAAGTTATTCAACTTAAAGAGCGAGTACGTAGCACTTCCGCACTCGTCGTGGATAAGCATCGCACATGTATTACCTGATGTGGTGCCTAATATATTAATTTTATAGGATCGTAAGCGTCAGTATGAGCTGCTGAAGTTGGAGAGAGACTTCCAGAAGCAAGCCAGTGTGCTGCGGAGGAAATCCGAAGAGGTAAGAGAAAATGCTTTGTTCCAGGGGTTGCTATTCGTGAAAGTAGATTTAAACTAACTGGGAAAATTATTTTTCATCTGTGTATCAGAAGTAGTTACCATGTGCCCTCTTCGGTCTACCTGCCCCAACATCGACTGCATCTAATTACTCGGGGCCAGCTTCCTAATGGAATGGTGCCCCATGTCTGTGCAATGTGCGTCGCCATGGAAGCTTGTAGTCCCAACCAGTGCATGTGGCAGGGTGACGACACAGGGGCACATAGGACAGTTGTCACTAGGGATGCACAAATACTGGTTTTACGATATAGGGTACTGATATTCATTTTTCAGTACTCGCCGATACCGAATACCAGGACTTCTGGTAGCATGGACTCGGCTTCCCGGGCAATCAGGACCCGTATAATTACTTGCTGCCCGGCTTCTTGATTGCCCGGGAAGCCGGCTCCATGCTGTTTGGCTGCCTTGCCAGCATCACAGCTGATCGGCATGGATCTGGCGTGTTCCCAGCCAATCGGCAAACTGGGAGGCAGGTCGTTACCCACTTCCTGATTGGCCGGGAAGCAAGCTCCATGCTGATTGACTGGGAAGCCAGCTTCCCGACCAACCAGCATCGAGCCGGCTTCTGGGCCAATCGGAGAGCCGGGCCACGAATTACCCTAGGCCCGGGAAGCTGGCTCCATGTTCCCATGTGGCACTGCCGGTCAGAGGAAATCCCCCTCTGACCGGAAGTTCCGGTATCACAATAAGTATTGGAGTATTTGTATGTACGAGTATTCACCCAAATACTCGATATTGGTGCATCTCTAGTTGTTACCCTAGAACAGGAAGGGTATTAACGTGCCTGGAGTTCTGTATAACCAATTTTTAAAATACATTAACGTGTCAAAAGTTTTCGATGTGTTTTGGTGACTGGGTGTCACTACATCAAATTTTCATATTAACAAATGTTCATTTATAGGCAGCGACTGCTAATAAACGTTTGAAGGAAGCCCTACTGAAACAGAGAGAAGCCATGGACCGACGCAAGGATGCCCAGAATAAAGGCATGGAGGGAGCAGCCACGAGGGTCAAGGTATGCAAATCAAATTGGTGGCTGCTCGGTGTAAGTGTACCTGGCAGTCCTGACCTTTTTTTGGGGGGAGGGGGCGGGGCCCTCCAATGAACAAGCTTATTAGAAGTACTGGGAAGTCACTACCGCCCAGCCAACCTGTTACTTTTTACCTGAGATGGAACTGTTTTACTTTTTTGCCTACAAACTGTGTTCAGCAGCTCATGGAGGGCATTTACTACTACTACTGTATTTGTATTTCTTTTCACCTAGAACTGGCTAGCCAGCGAGGTGGAGGTTCTTGCGAGCACAGAGGAAGCACAGGGACATTTGAATGATCTCCTTGAAGACCGAAAGATTCTGGCTCAAGATATAGTCCAGCTGAAGCAGAAGAGAGAAGCGGGAGAACGCATACCTCCAAAGATACGGGTGAGTAATGCAGTACAGACTGAACGCTGCCTTGCTAGAAAATGTGCAAATCCACTCCCAAGGGGTTGGCCATGTTTTCATCCGTTGAGGGACACAAGAAGTCGCATGAAGATGATTTAGGGCTTGTTCACATGATATCAGGTCCTGATCAGGTGCGGATCTGCAGAAGCAGTGCGTTTTTTAAGCGTTTTCGGTCCGGATGCTGACGGTTCTTTTTTAGCCGTGGGGCTGTCAGTATGCAGATTCTTCCTCTGAGGTCACTTCCGCCCTCTCGGAACATCTACTTTCCTTTGTGTATGTAAAGCTGGTGATCAGACATGTATCCCATGTTTGCAGGCATGTTGATGGTGCTGACTACAGCAATCTGCAGAGAACGAGCCCGCAGGAGACGTCGTTATTGGGTACACCCGATCCTGAGGCTCCGGGACTCCAAGGGTCAGTTCTGGAGTTTGTATGAGGATTTGCGAGGTCACCCGGATAAATTTTTTTCCTTTACTCATATGTCCTATGACATCATAAAAAGTGGAGCAAGAATACTATTTTTTTTTGCTTAGCTGCGTTGCGTTTTCGTTGCTTTTTTTTGCCGCGTTCGTGAGTTTCCAGACCGGACAAAATGTGACATGCAGTTTTTTTTCTGTCGTAAGTTGAACGGACTGCGCACGCGAGAACTGTAGCCCATAAAACGCATAGGGATACTTTGGGATGCATTTTAAGTGCAGGAGCATACGGATCAGGTCAGCACAGAAAACGGATGTCGTGTGAACAGGCCCTTAAAGGAGAACTATGAGGGGGGTGCTTTTCACTCACCTCATAGTTCTAGCCGACCTGTGACAATTAGACTGTCACAGGTCGGCTCAGTAGATTGGGAGGTGAGCGAACACATACCGGCGTTCGCTCACTTCTCAATCCTGTCACGGCTCTCTCCCGTGACAGGGGAGGGGCTGGATTCCCC